TTGCCCATACAAAAAATAGCAAAAAATTATTTAACATACGATAAAATAATAACGGAGAAAGCCATTGATATCCAAACCACAAAAATTCTACGGAAGCCTCCACCTGCAAATGCTTGAGGCCTTGGTCTGTTAAAATAATAGCATCTTCATGAAGAAAATTCATGCTACCTCTAAACAAAAGTTAGCGAATATATCACGATAATCTAGTTAGCCATATGATAACAAAATAATCAGTTGTTCTAGTATGACTATTCAACATTTAACAGCACAAACTGACCAATAAATTAGACTTTTAAAGAGGAAAAAGTTAATAATGCCAACAGTAAGTTAAAGCCAGATGTTAAAGGACTGCAAAAAGTCTTTAAATTTTGCATTTCAAAGAAGCAATAAGACTGGTAAAAAATTTGGAGCTGAAACAGATCCAAATGATAAGGGAAACAGGACAAGCAACCTTTTCATCACTTGAAACAACAGGATGCTCAAAACCCTCCTCACCCTCCTGCCAATGCTTCTTTATAAACTGCTTTAGAATAACAGCAGCTAGGTAAAAAGCAAGTTAAGCTTACAAGGCCAAAAGGAAACAAACAAGCAATCAACAAAAAAAAAAAGGCGCACAAAAGCCTAGTCATTGTGGATTATCACATTGGTACAATTTGAAAGGAAAGAAGCTAATATATACATTTATATTATTTATATATGTGTGTCTGTGTGTGTTTATACATACACATATCGATATATATACACATATATATAACAGGATATCTGACGTAATCCCAAAGGTAGCTCTCTCTTTGCTGCAATTCTACACAATGAGCTTCCAAAACCTTCAGGAAAAGACAAAATTAACAAAGGTTAAAGTTTATCCTATCTACAGAATTTTTTTCAAATAACATGACTAAACTCATGAAGGGTCCTGGAATATCTAAACCCATCCATGTTTATAGATCACCATAATTCACAAACATAGCAAAAAGCTTAATTCCAGACTTGTAACTTATGTCAGTAGTCAAGACTTCATGGCTTGTACTACATGCTTATAGATCAACAATACTTAGTGCTTCAATGATTTCTCTTTTTCTTTTTTACCTTACTTGGAGTTATGAATATGCTATTAAGAAAGTTAAGAACAGTCATCCAAGTTGTAAAGAGAAAAATGGTATTACCTGAGGTTACAAAATTATGGTCACGTTAGATTGCAACAATTATATAGCATACAAACAAGATGTTTGACCAAGTTCCTCACATTACAATAACCAGCAAACTAACACATTCTTATTGCTCTTTCATTGAACTGCCTGAAGGCCTGAACCTCAAACTTTTTGAGAAAGGTTGCAGTGTACTAATCACACACAAAGACAGTGCTGGAAGCCAATTTATAATTCAAAAAAAAAAGCATGTCCTTGTTCATCTTGCAAGGACTCTAGAAACTCTAGTAATGTTTCAGTTTCATCTACATAGTTTCCTTTGCACCACAAAAGAGTATCTCAAATCTTTGACATGAACAGTTAGCTTCTAAGCTTTCTTTTTCTTTTTTGATAAACACAAAATCCCAACACCAGTAGCACACAGTTCAAAACTCAGTATATAATAGGTCCGCTGCTCTATCCTTTTCCACTTAAATACAAAACTTTTGTCTGCAACAGCTCGAACACGTGCACCTTATGTACACACCAATCTTGATGCTCTTACCACTATACCAAAGCCTGTGGGGCAGTTAGTTTCAAAATTTGAAGTCAAAATGTTGTACTTCGACACCATTTCAACCAACACACTCCCCAAAATGTCCAAACTGAAACTCACTAAACTACTCCAAGATCCAAACTTGACATAAATAAGAGAACTTTAAGCATCTTCCAAACAACTCAAACAGAAAAAATAACCCCCACACATTTCTTTTAGCATGAATGCACCAACACATCAATGCCAGCTAATTTATGATCATTCTATTAATATCAGCTACAATGAAATTGAAACTCACTAAACTACACCAAGATCCAAACTTTACATAAATTAGAAACCTTTAAGCATCTTCCAAGCAACTACAACAACAACATACTCATTGTAATCCCACAAGTGAGGTCTAAGGCAGGTAGAGTGCACACAGAGCAGCTACAGTAAATTGAAACTCACTAAACTACTCCAAGATCCAAACTTTACATAAAAAAGAGACCTTTAAGCATCTTCCAAGCAACTACAACAACAACATACTCATTGTAATCCCACAAGTGAGGTCTAAGGCAGGTAGAGTGCACACAGAGCAGCTACAGTAAATTGAAACTCACTAAACTACTCCAAGATCCAAACTTTACATAAAAAAGAGACCTTTAAGCATCTTCCAAGCAACTAAAACAACAACATACTCTGTATAATCCAACAAGTGAGGTTTGAGGCAGGTAGAGTGCACACAGACCAGCTACAGTAAAATTGAAACTAACTAAACTACTCCAAGATCCAAACTAAACATAAATTCAAAACCTTTAAGCATCTTCCAAGCAAATACAACAACATACTCAATGTAATCCCACAAGTGGAGTCTGAGGAAGGTAGACTGCACACTAACCAGCTACAGTAAAATTGAAACTCACTAAACTACTCCAAGATCCAAACTTTACATAAAAAAGAGACCTTTAAGCATCTTCCAAGCAACTACAACAACAACATACTCATTGTAATCCCACAAGTGAGGTCTAAGGCAGGTAGAGTGCACACAGAGCAGCTACAGTAAATTGAAACTCACTAAACTACTCCAAGATCCAAACTTTACATAAATAAGAGAACTTTAAGCACCTCCCAAACAACTCAAACACAAAAATTAACCCACCCACCCACCCAATCTTTAGCATGGATGCACAGACCCATCAATGGAATAAAACCCAACTGAACAAATCAAGTATCCATACAGCTGACACCAACTAATTTAAGATCACTCCAGATTACCTGGTTGAAGGGTAGCTTGTTGAAGAGAAGTTTCAGCAAAAGAACGAACTTGTTGATTTGGATCAAGCGTAGCATTCAAGCAGTTGATAAGCCATTGTTCATCTTGATCCATTTTAGAAGTTTCACCCACCAAACAAAAAAACACACAGAATTCAGCTGCTTTGAAGGCTTTAGCTAAATGGGTGTCACTCTGTCAGTCTCTGTGTTTGGCAAATTGGAGGGAATTTGTGTTTTGTAATATTAAGGTGTTTTATAGGTCTCCTTAGGGTTTTGCCCGGTTCAGATTATTGCTATTCATTTTCTTGATAGACCGGGTTCAGGCATTCCAGCGGTTTTTTTTCCACGCCTTAGTGGTATTTCATTCACTTTTAAACTCCTTCGTCCTTAATTAGAGGTCTCATAATCGAGTCTCCATGGTACAGAATCGCCTTTGTTAGGAAGCGGTGTTACCCTTAATGTGAGGTTTTCCGGCATGAATCCGGATTTATTTGGACTTCAATATGGATACCAAACATTGGATGGGAAACAAAAAAATAAAAATAAAAATACAAAAACAAAGTGTACCAGATAGGGGTGGGCATGGTACGGTATTGATATGTCCGATTTGGTCATTTTGGAGATTTTATCTTTATCTCGGAGATAAATAGTTTATTTTCGATAGTTTCTTAGCTCGAGGAAAAACAATACAAAAGCAATTCGAAAAAGGAATTGACAAAATACAAAAGATAGTATGACAAAAGTATTTTAGAAAGTAGCATGGATGCACAGACCCATCAATGGAATAAAACCCAACTGAACAAATCAAGTATCCATACAGCTGACACCAACTAATTTAAGATCACTCCAGATTACCTGGTTGAAGGGTAGCTTGTTGAAGAGAAGTTTCAGCAAAAGAACGAACTTGTTGATTTGGATCAAGCGTAGCATTCAAGCAGTTGATAAGCCATTGTTCATCTTGATCCATTTTAGAAGTTTCACCCACCAAACAAAAAAACACACAGAATTCAGCTGCTTTGAAGGCTTTAGCTAAATGGGTGTCACTCTGTCAGTCTCTGTGTTTGGCAAATTGGAGGGAATTTGTGTTTTGTAATATTAAGGTGTTTTATAGGTCTCCTTAGGGTTTTGCCCGGTTCAGATTATTGCTATTCATTTTCTTGATAGACCGGGTTCAGGCATTCCAGCGGTTTTTTTTCCACGCCTTAGTGGTATTTCATTCACTTTTAAACTCCTTCGTCCTTAATTAGAGGTCTCATAATCGAGTCTCCATGGTACAGAATCGCCTTTGTTAGGAAGCGGTGTTACCCTTAATGTGAGGTTTTCCGGCATGAATCCGGATTTATTTGGACTTCAATATGGATACCAAACATTGGATGGGAAACAAAAAAATAAAAATAAAAATACAAAAACAAAGTGTACCAGATAGGGGTGGGCATGGTACGGTATTGATATGTCCGATTTGGTCATTTTGGAGATTTTATCTTTATCTCGGAGATAAATAGTTTATTTTCGATAGTTTCTTAGCTCGAGGAAAAACAATACAAAAGCAATTCGAAAAAGGAATTGACAAAATACAAAAGATAGTATGACAAAAGTATTTTAGAAAGAAAAAAATGAAACATTATTTACAACAAAATAATATTATAGTCCAAGTAATCAGAGACAGAGTTAAAATTTATGAATTTGTGATTCTAATTTTTTTACTATTAATAATTTATACAAACTTGATTCGACTGAACTCGTAATTGAAAGACTAGTTCCGCTTTGTATGACTTATAACATGTTACAACATATTAAATTAAATGACGATTTACAAAATTTTATTAAAATCACCATTAAATATAACTTAAATCTTATTATAAGCATCGTCCCGAAAAATGGGTCTCACAATGCGTCAATCTAAATTAGTCGGATACTGAACATAGCGGAAATATTAGTTTAAACTCCCGCCATATATATATCCTTATAACCAGTCATTTTCCGCGCCCAAATTACCTATGCCACCCGCTAAAAGCCCTAAAAATTGAGAAATTGTTCATTTCACTGTAATGAGTAAGACAGAAAAAATGGAACTTTTTGATGTTCCTGTCACTGTTTCAAACCCAATGTTAAGTTTCAAGAATCAAAAAACCAAAATTGTTAAGGAATATGTATATGTGAAATGTGATTGCAAGCGAAAAAGGGCGTATGAAGTCACCATTATGGATTTTTCGAGGGAGATTATGGTGGAAATTCTTTCAAGATTGACAATCAAGCCTATTTTCCGATGTAAGACTGTTTGTAAATGCTGGTATAATCTTTTAACTTCCGACCCTTTATTTGTTAAGATGTATCAAACAAGATCATGTAATTTCCCCTGCATTTTGCTTTCGAATGATGACTCTATTGCTTCAGTTCTTGAACTTAAAGCAGATTATGATTACTATTCCCGCCCGCGAAACAGACCTGTTATGTTGACCCCTGAGTTTCACATCCCTAAACATAAAGATCGATTTGGTTATAGTTTTGATAGGAAAAAGTTGACATTGATTGGTTCATGTAATGGGTTGATTTGTTTGTGGAGTGGTGATAGGTATGATGAAAACTATTCGATTTATATTAGCAATCCTCTTTTGGGTGAGTATTTTAAGGTTAAATTGCCTGAATGGGAGAAAAGGGTTCGTCGTGTTGCTTATACCTTGTGTTATAGTGAAGGTTCTAGACAGTATAAGGTATTGAGGTCAGTGATTAGAAAGTTTCGGGGTCGTCCTGAAGTGTCTGAATTGGAGGTTTGTAATCTTGGAGTTGATGAGAAATGGAGAAATGTGGGGGAGGCTGCTTATCCGTTATGTGGTAGATTTGGTAATGTGAATGTCAATGGTGTTCTTTATTAGCTGAAGGATGATGATGATATTAAAACAAGTGCTAGCATTCACTCCTTTAATCTTGTGACGGAAGAAGTGAAGCCTGTGCCAGTTCCACCTGGTTTGAAAACTCCTTCGTTGGGCTTGAGGCTAGCGGAGTTGGGGAATTGTCTATGTTTGACTGATAGTTGCTCTTCTCAGCATGTTGATATATGGTGGATGAAAGAGGATGATTCTTGGACTAAAGATTGCATTTTGACGAATTCTATTCCGCGTGATAGCTGTATTTCTGATTTAATACCAATCATATTCTGGAAAGATGGAGAATCTTGATGCAAAGCAGACATCACACAGAACTACTTTCTTACAACCCAAAAGAGAAGAAGTTTAGGAAGGTCAAGGTTTACGATGGTGGCTATGCAGCGACTAGATACATTCCAAGTTTTTACTCACTCAAGACTGTCATGGGGGAAAGTTTTCAAATCTCAAATGCTTATCCAAAGGCTGAGATAGTTTTAGACATTTAATTCATCTTACTTCCTCCAGGATATTATGTTTTGGTTCTATGTTTCGTATAATTTAGCTTAAGACCTAACAACTGTTACTGTTTTATGGATGCATAAGCATACCTTGTCCATTTTGTAGTCTCCAAAGCTGATGTTGGCCTATCAGTCAGGCCGGCCTTGTTTGGGGTAAACGGTACATGAACTTTTGGGTAAAGTTAATTAGTAGTGATGTTTTGATTATGTCCTGAGTTTTGAAGTAGAGCTTTACTTAGTTGGTGATTTTTCTTGAACACTAGGCTTTGATATATAAAGAAAAAAGCAGTACGAGAGGTGACTTCTGTAATCTCTACAGGACTCTCGATACTTGTTTCTTGATATGAAATGTTTATCGGAGTTATCTTTGGGTTTCTTGTCGAATTCTGAACATTTTTGTTGCCATTATTGTCTTAAAGAAGAAGCAGGATGAGAGGTGATACTTGTTTCTTGCTATGAATGCTTACTGGAAATTTTGAATTCAGCTATATTTGTGAAAGGTTAGAAAACTTTGGTCATCTTCATTTCAGTGTTTGATCCAGGTTGCTATCTTTGTATCCTGTTTTTTGCTGTCTTATTTTCTTATATTCGTGCTTTGGATTCTTCTTTTCTTTTTAGTCGAGAGTCTATCAGAAACAACCGTTTTATCCCACAAAGGTAAGGATAAGGTTTACGTACATCCTATTCTCCCTGAACCCTACTTGTGGGATTGCACGGGGTATGTTGTTATCCAAGGTCGCTATAGTCTCTATTTGTCATCTGAATACAGAGACAGTTTAGTGTTCATTACAACCTAGTAATCTTCCAATTAGCAAGTAATTTATTATTATTATTACTAATAGTTTAGAAATTTAATTTGTGTTACTTCCTCCAGAATATTGTGTTTTGCTTCTATGTTTCTGGTATAATTTAGCTTAAGACCTGAAAATTGGGTTGTTTATGAAAATTTCTCAACGTAGTCATGTTAAAACTTAAAAAGATAATTGATAACAACTATTAAAACGTACAATAAAGTCCTCATATTAAAGACATTTAAAAATTAAAAGGTTGCATCATACATTAACGTTACATCCTACACTATAAATATGAAATCCTCCTTCCAAATCTTCATCAAATTTCAAATCCTCTCAATTCCAAATACAATTGTAACCAACTTATATATCCGTAAGAAAAATGACTTCTATTTATGCATACGCACTTATTTTCTTGTGCATATCCATTGAGGTTTCTCCGAGCGTCTCACAATTACTTGGAGGAGGAGGAGGCCTTTTGCCAGGTTCAGGGAATGGTCTTTTTCCGGATATCTCTAAATGTTTAGCATCAGTGTTGAATGTCCATGGATGCGTTGAATAGATCATAATATCTTTTTTAAGTATTAAACTTCGATTAATCGGACCTCAATGTTGCAAAGCTGTATTAGACATATATGATAGTTGTTGGTCTAAGATTTTCCCTTTTAGTTCACTTTTCTCTTTATCACATTGGAGTTTTTGCTCCATTCAAGGTTCATTACCACCACCAACAATCCCTCAACCTCTAGTTCCAAATAGTAGCATGAAGATTGTATAAAAAATTAAGAACTAAGTTATTTAATTATCGTCCTTTGAATTCTTTCTAATAAATTGATCGCGATGAGACTTGTATCTAGCTAGGGAATCATGTGTAGCTGCAAATGAAACGAAATAAAGCGGTTTTGATGAATGTCAATTACAAGAGAATTATAAAATTTAGAAACGCACATCAAACGAAATAAAGACTTGACAAGAAGTCAAAAGAATATAATCAGATATTATATCCAAAGTCTATTCAAATTTTATTTCAACATGACTACTCTTTTATCTTCTTATTTCCATTTTCCTTTTAATAGTCTTCCTGAAAAATAATTAATCCTAAATATTTATTTTCTTAATTTAAAGTTTGTCTTTTACTAACCCTGTTATAATACATGTCTAATCTCTTAAAGATTTTTTTTTTAAGGCATAATAGATAAGAGATTAACTACTATCCAGTATCCATTGACAGTGGACAACAAAGTTACACCATCAGTTCATTTTTAAAAATATTTATTTCTCTTAATTTAATTATTACATTTTCACATTTAAAGATTAATGATTTTTCAACTTCTCTTTCTTTTTCATTTTTAAAACATGTTCTACATATTTAAAATTTATTTTTAAAAAAATAATGTTCAAATATTTTTTATACTATCACTTTGAGTATTAATTACTTAAATAAATTGAAATACATATGATGATATATGAATCAAAGTTTGTTTTCAATTAATTTTTTGTATTGTTGATTGAATGAACTAAGAAGACATATGTGTCATATATGGCGTCCTACGTTACCAATTTGCTTCTTACGTGGCATCCTACGTGTATTATGTCACATAGGACGCAGGTATCTACATATTCACATCCAAAGTTGGAGGGTATAGATGACTTTTAAGGCCAAGTTAAAGGGCATGTTTATGTATTATGTATTTTATTATTATTATTATTATTGTTGTTGTTGTTGTAATACGAATTTGTAAAAGGGTGAAAATTCTAATTTAAAGTTCATTCAAAATATAAATAGGTAATATTATAAGAATTTAATTATTTCCCTTTTTTTTAATCAAGAATTGAAATTCAATTACTTGGCGGGAAAAAAGTAAAAAGAAGTCTCTAACAATAGGAATATTAAATATAGATAAATAACAAGAGAAAAAGATGTCTTACATTAGAATTAATACCGAAAAATAAAATAATAAATTTCAAAACTAACAATAAATACACGGTAAAAGATTATTTGCCTGACTATAGATACCAACGATCTCAAATCTGTCTGCAAGCTCTGTGATTTTAATTTCCCTCCAACTCTTCTTCTTCAAATCATAAAAGAGAATCAAATTTCGCTGGTAAAAAATGCACACAATTTCACCATCAGGTGTACTGCTACAAAAGAAATCCAGAGTCTTCAAGCTAGAACAAAGTGCATCAGAAAATGTAATTACATGCTTCACCCATTCTTCAGTTTCACAACTCTGTAAAACCATCAAATCCATCTCTCTCATATTACACCTTGAACGATCAATGATTGCTAATTTTCCTTCCACTTCTACTAAGTCATGATAAAATTCTCTTGGCATAAAAAAATCAAATACGTCCCACAATGAGATAATTCTAAAATTCTCCATCATAATGTTAAATGCCACTATGCATCGTCTTTTACTGTGAATCCCTACAAAATAGATAACTCCATTGATGCAAATTTCTCCGCCTGTTAATTGAAGTAACAAACAGGGTGCACTTTCAATCTCTCTCCATGATTCACTTGAGCCGAGAGTTAAAACCCAATGCCCTGAGCCTCCAATTTGAGGATCACTAGTCATCAAAATTTTGAACTTTTTTTCATTCGGTTCAAAACCAAATGAATAGTAATTATGAGTAAAGTCATCATTGATGAAACTTGGGGAAGGAAGATATTTTGCTAATCCTGTAATAGGATTATAAATAGCAGGGGGAAGCTCTTTTGTACTCCATAAGCAAAATAAACCATTAACATAGTGAAAATTATGGCATATAGTACCATCAAACTCCTTAATAACAATGGGTTTTTTATGTTCCGCTTGTTGGTCTATGGTGTAAAAGATATTTTCATCTTTTGAACGTGCAAGTATTTTTATCTTATGAGGACGAAATATAGAGTGGCTTTCATGAATATCTATAAAAGATGGATCAGATACAAGTGAATTATAAAATTTAGAAAGACACTTAAAACGCATTAAGGAATCAACAGGAAGCCTAGAAAATATATCACACATAATCTCTTCGGAAATTGAATATTTTCTTGAATCACTCTCGCTCGTTTTATTCTCCATTGGGGAGAACATTTGTTACCTGAAATAGTTCACATGTTAATCTAATATTTAAATGATTTCAATATTAAAGATATTAATGAACAATGACATATATTAAAGAAGCTTCATAATATATATACCTTTACTTTCTCTTAACTGAGAACAGAAATTGCTAGTTATAAACTGGAATAAAAATTATCGAAACCCAAACAAGAAAATCCAATGTACAAGAAAAGATCATAGGAGAAATGAAATTTTTCTAGAAGAATTCTGTATTCTTCAAGTCTTCAAGTAATATCTTATATAGATATCACTTCAACGGCTAGTTAACGGCTAATTAGTCTTCATTAATGTAAGACAAAAATATTATTGAATACTTAAAATACGTGATTTTCTTACTTATCCGTAGTTTACTTAGCAAGTAGCTTGACTTGAAACTTACTTAGTGAATCTCGAGTTCAAAATGTGTTCACGAACATTCTAGAAGAAATTATTTTCATACTTGAAAAAGTGAAAATAAATAAACAAAGTGTTACACCTATAGCATGGTTTGTCATGACTAGTGATATATGGAACATACTTAGAGATGTAAAATATCGTATCTTTAATCTCTACTTGTATGCCTCCATATTTCGTTATAAATATAATATCGTATCTTTTGAGCCAATAAGAAAAATTCGTATATGTAATAATATTCCATCGTTAATTACTTAATTCAAGCAATCTTTTTGATACAATATATAATTAATCATTTACGTTCTTGCTACAATTATTTAATTAATCGCTAAGATGATTATTTCTCAAATTTCATTTATCTGATTATTTGAGTATATTGTTGTTGTTGTTGTTAGATTATCCATCGAAGATAATGAGATCTTCACCAATCATGAACACAAAAAGGATGACATTCTTTTATATGGAAATCATATTTTGAAAAAAATCGCACAACAAAT